GAATTTATGTTGAGCAGTGGTAGGATGGGGCGAACACAGAGAACTGGGGGTTGTTGTCTTGGTGCCGAAGGGGGGGGAGGGGAAGGGTTTGGGTGATTATCGTCCGTTGTCATTAATGTGTTGGATTATAAAAATTTTGCAAAGATATTGGGTAACAGTTAAAGAAGGTTTATTGGGGTGTTCATACATAGAGGTCAATAGGGATCCGGGACGAAGTATAAAGAATGGGCACAGTGGATAAGGGATTTTATGAGAACTCCCCGGGAAAGGGGGCATCCTTGGTTTTGGTTTTGGGCTCAGGCTTTGACTGGTAAAGAGGGAATTTTTTTGGTCTGTTTGGAAAATTTGGGGTTTTTGGAGGGGGGGTAGTGAGATGGGTGCGACACTTTTTAAGGGGGCAGTCATGAGGGTGCAGGTAATGGAAAGGCTGGGGGACCCAGTGCTGAGGGAACGGGGCTTAAGGCGGGTTGCCGCTCTCCAGTTGTTTTTGCATGTGTGCAGCATCCTTTCTTTGGGTGTGGAGGGGGGAATTGGGGGGGTTAGGGGGGGCCCTGCATGGGGGGAATTGTAGGTTATGTTGATGGACACCACTGTTCTGGAAATGAGTGGGGGGTTTTAAAAAGGGTGGGTGGGGTGTTTTTGTTTTTGGGGATGTTTGGGGGATGGAAGTTAACCTTGCAAAGTCGGGTTGTTGGAGGGTGGGTTTGGGTTGGGGGGGTTTTGGGGGGAGGAGTGGGAGGCAGTTGGGGACAGATTTAGGGTTTGTGGGTATGGTATATGGGCAGGGCAGGATTGGGGAGGATCAAACTCTAAAAAACTAGTCACGAGTAGGGGTTATGGGCAAGCTTAAATTTTGGGGGGTTAGTGAAAGTGGCGTACAGCAGGGGCTTGGTTATTAATTTGTTGGTATGAAAGGTAGGGTTTTATGGCGGGGGTTTTTCCCTTTGGGTTCAACATTCAGGAAATTTTCAGAGGAGGGTTTTGGGTTTGGGGGGGGTTTTTGTGGGGGGGCCTTTTATCTAAGGGGGTGGTTATAAAGATGTGAACGGGGGGGGAACTAGGATTGTTGGCTTTAGGGCCTGGGTTGGCCTTTATATTAAGCAGGGGTATATTAGGGTGGGGGGGGAGGGGGGTGTTAGGGTGGATAGGGTGGTGAGGGATGCTTGAAACTGGTGGAGGTGGCAGGGACTTGAGGAATTGCGAGGATTTGCCGAGGTTCTTGTTGACAGTGCGACAGGTTTCAATATTGAGGGTTAAAACGTTGGTGGGTGTGGTGTGGGGAAGGGGTGTCTTACATGGGGTTGCCGTGTACCCCACGTATAACTGGCAGGTGATATGGAGGGAGTTCAGGCTGCTTAGGATACCAGCAAGGGTCAGGGAGTTGGTATACCATTTCCTCATGGGGGTAGTAGCATCCAAGCATGTGTTGCATAAAATGGGGTTGGTGAGGGAGGTGACATGCTTGTTCTGTGGGGAGGAGGAAACCGCCTATCATGTGGTATATTTTTGCTCATCTTTGGGGGGTGAGGGTCTGGATGGCGGGTGTTATCAGGCTGTTGGGGGGGGAGTTGCTCGTTTCTTAGGACCTTGTTGATGGATGTCAGTGGGGTATCACGAGAAGTGGGAAGGGCTTTGATGTATGTTATGGCGGATTATTTGCATGTTTCTTGGGGAATGAGGGAGATTAAAGGGCAGTTGAGGATAAAAGCATTAGCAGCTAGGTTCTATAGAACAATGTGTAGGAATAGATTAATCTATGGGGGGCGTTGGGAGTCCAGTTTCTCAGAGGGTTATCGTAACCTCTCTGTGGCGAAACTCCTCCGGGATCATGGGGGCAGGCAAGGGGCAGGTCTCCTTTAGTGAATGGTGGGTATGATAAGGTTGTGGAGGTTGTGTTGTATGTGATGTGTGAGTGGAGTATGTGAGGGCATCAATCTGAGACCTGGTTGTGTTCCTTGCGGGTTAATTCATCTTTTAATTCGGTCAAAGTCACACTGATTTCAGTTTAGTTCCACATGTAAGTCATATATATATTTTTTGGTAATTGGATAATTATTACACTGTCAGGGATTGGTGGCTTAGGCATCTATTCTGGTGGTTTATATAAGGTCATGGACCTTGTGATGATTTATACTTTATGTGAATTTGGTCCATTGTGTTAACAAGCATGTCCAAGGTTGTTTTATTTTGAATTACTTTGGAATAGGTGTTTGGACATTGTACCCTGTACTAGAGGGTAGGTCCGATTTGTGTTTTTATAATTGTTATGGTAGCTCTTGTTAGGGGCATTTTATTTTAATGTCATGGTTTGTGTATTATATATTCATAAATGTAGCTATGGCTATAATTATGTTTTACTACAGTAACTATAGTACCCTTGTGATGTGCAATTTTGTTGTTTTGTTTTTGTTGTAATAGTTTATGACAAGGTACTCAAAATATATGGTAAAACCATGTTAAGCTTCCCTTTGTTATATTATATGATAGGAAAATTTTTATTTCCTTCATTAGTGAGTACCTATCAATGATTTAGTGGGTACTGTCTTTTGTGTGTACTGTTTGTTATAGCAGGCTGTTGGTATAATATTTGTCATCTTCAGGAATAACCTGGTAATAGTAGAGGAAACTATTATGTTATTGTATTTTGTTTTTTACTATTGCTATGCATCCTTTGTAATTCTGTAAGGTCTTTTAAATAAAAATATATAAAAAAAAAAAGTCCAGTTGCGAGCAAGGTCATGGAACGAATTAATCTCGTAAGTAGAGGTTCCACTGTATAATAATAATGTACTGCATAATGATAATTATAATAATAGACAGCTTCAAAAGGCCATCACTAGACGGAAGTGTTTACCACAACAGAGGGAGCGGCTGTGGCTGCCTCCACCTGTTACATAATGACATTTTATTCATTCTAGAGTATATATCAGGTTTCTATGTTATTTATACTGTTTATTATTTCATATTAGATGAACTGTGATAGATAAATAAGCCATAGAGTTGATGATAGCGAAATATTCAAGGAGTATTTTGTCCTGTCTCCAAACATTCGTCGGCCGCTGTCGCAGTCACCACATATATAACGACATTTTATTCATTCTAGAGTATATATCAGGTTTCTATTTTATTTATATTGTTTGCTATGTCATATCAGATGAACTATAATAGATAAATAAGCTGTATAGATGATAACAGCAAAATTATTCAAGAAGTATTTTGTCTGGTCTCCAGACAAACTGTCGTCCACCGTCGACACCGCCCATACCACTACATGAATTACATATTTTATTCATTTTAGAGTATATATCAGGTTTCTATGTTATTTGTATTGTTTACTATGTTATATTAGATCAAGTGAGATAGATAAATGAGCCGTAAAGTTGATACTAGCGAAATTATTAAAGTACAGAATTCCACTGGAACAGATTAATTGCATTTCAATTAATTTAAATGAGAAAAATTGACTCTGCAAATGAGCAAATCCAGTTGCGAGCAAGGTCATGGAACTAATATTAATTCTTACGCTATACTGATATAGGTTATAATGAGCAGTACATTTGGACATATTTGTATTGTTTACTATGTTATATTAGATCAAGTGAGATAGATAAATGAGCCGTAAAGTTGATACTAGCGAAATTATTAAAGTACAGAATTCCACTGGAACAGATTAATTGCATTTCAATTAATTTAAATGAGAAAAATTGACTCTGCAAATGAGCAAATCCAGTTGCGAGCAAGGTCATGGAACTAATATTAATTCTTACGCTATACTGATATAGGTTATAATGAGCAGTACATTTGGACATATTATTAGATACGTAATTAGATACATACCCAATTAGGCACATACATAATTAGGTTTAAAATAGTTAGGTAGTACAAATCATACAATAATATTACAAATGGTAGATTTAGTAATAGGATTCAATTTGTCTTGGCATGGTACTTTGTTTCTATTAAAGCAATATACTGGAAGAGTATTTTAGGCAAACTTAAGATTTAATAGAACTAACTTAAGATTAAACAGGCATGCTATATTAGGAATTTTATGTTTACAGTCATTTGGGTGGGTGTAGATGTAAATTATGGGGGAAATACAGATAACGAGAGTAAGTCTATAGTACTGTTTTGGATGTGTTCACGATACAAAAGGGAGAATTAAAACATTGTTCGGCACAAAAGAAAGCCACTATTATGCAATGCATTAGGGACACTGGTTATTAGCAATTTTACATGTAAGTTTATTTAGGTATAGGTAAACATAAGAACATACAATCATCATATAGTGTCCCACAGCTTGATTGCTAGTGTACTCATCTCACATACTGAGGTCCATGGTTTGATCCCCGCCATGGGTGGAAACATTAGGACGCATTTCCTTAAGACACCTGTTGCCCCTGTTCACCTATCAATTAAACAGATATGCGAGTGTTAGTCGACTGGTGTGGGTTGCATCCTGGGGACAAAACTGACCTAATTTGCCCAAAATGCTCTACATAACCAGGGGCTTTGTAATCAGTAGTATATTGTCATTATTATTATTATTATTATTATAGTCATGGGGAGCGCTAAACCCGTAGGATTATAGAGCATGAGGGGGGATGGAAGGTATTCAGGGAACCGGAACACAGACCCAATTCCCTGGATCAAGAGCCCCTCACCAGCGTCAAGGAGCCTCCCTTGAGGAGAGTAATGTCACTGATGTCAGCCAGGACTGAATACCTTGTACGTGTACTTGCAGAAATAAAGATATTATTATTTGGATGACCCCAAAGCATCAGATAGTGACTTATTTTCATTCAAGCCCTTGCATAGTCGAGTTTAAGTTATCTTACACTATCTACCGCAGTGAACATTCATTTGGATCAAAAACCCTTCAAAGGCGTCAAGGAACCTCCCTTGAAAGGTTCAATTAGATAATAAAGAACAATGACTTCTGACGAAGAGCAGCAGTTCCTGTTATTCATGATCCTCTTACTATTCCTCATGCATCTTACCGTCCATCTCCTCCAACACTTCAAGTTCATCAGCATGCAGCATCTCGTATTCCTCATCTGGATTAGGAAATTCGTCCATCTTGATAGTATAAAATGAGTTTTCCGGGCTGACTCAGAGGACAATGATGTTCAAACTTCTTCTTGTTAGGTTTGTAAAGGCCGCTGACAACTTACGCTGTATAGAGCCCTTCTTCCCCGGTATCAGTCAGCAAGCAAGCAAGCAAGCAAGCAAGCAAGCAAGCAAACAAGCAAACAAAAAAACAAGCAAGCAAACAAGCAAACAAAAAAGCAAGCAAGCAAACAAGCAAACAAAAAAGCAAGCAAAAAAGCAAACAAAAAAGCAAGCAAGCAAGCAAGCAAACAAGCAAGCAAACAAGCAAGCAAGCAAACAAGCAAGCAAGCAAACGAGCAAGCACGCAAACAAGCAAGCAAACGAGCAAGCAAACAAGCAAGCAAACGAGCAAGCAAACAAACAAGCAAGCAAGTAGTTAGTATATTTAGGTACTTAGGTGATTACAATTATCATACATAGTAACATATATGTAAATTACCCACCAGGATAACCAAAAACAAATCATAGTGACTTATTTCCATTGGGGTCCTTGTAATATCTTATTGTTTAAAGCCTAGTTGTAAGATACAGTAGACTTCAGTCATGATTATAACTTTAAAATTTAAAACAGCTAAGTAACTCAACTGTGTTAAAATCAGTTACAGTAAAAGGAATACAGTGAATACAGTGACCTTTGGCCTGGTAGGCAACGCTCTGGCATCACACTGAACCACTGGGTGTGTTTCCTTACACCTGCTGTCCTGTTCACCTAGCAAGTAAGGAGGTACCTGGGTGTTACTCGACTGGTGAAGGTGGCATCCTGGGGGGCAAGATTGAGGACCATAATGGAAATAAGACACACAGTCCTCGATGATGCACTGACTTTCTTGGGTTATCTTGGGTGGCTAACCCTCTGAGGTTAAAAATCCGAACAAACTGTTATATTAACTGAGTTAATTACATGTGCATTAGTCCATGCAAAGCTAAGCCATAAAAGAAAAGTGAAGTAAGTAAGTTTATTTAGGTGCAGGTTCACATCAGCACAGTTACATAAATTTAGGTGATTACAATTATCATACATAGTAACATATATGTAAATTACCTAGGATAACCCAAAAAATCAGACTAGATGACTTATTTCCACTGGAGTCCCTAGAAGTTCCTTTGTAAATGGAAACATAAACGTGAAGTTTCCAAATAGAGCAATGGAAATAAGTCACTCTGTCTGACTTTTTTGGGTTATCCTAGGTTCTCTACACATATGCTGCTATGTATGATAATTCTATGTAACTGTATTTGTGTATACCTGAATAAACTTACTTACTTACTTACTTACAGATTGACCTCTCCCTCTCTCCAGGTCCCAGCAGAGAGGGACACCCACATCCTCACCCAAGTTCAGCAACCGGCTTCCCACCAAAACCGTTCAAGAATTATCCACATAGCAAACAATGGAGTTGGTTAATATTGAGCCCATGAAAGGTGCCCCTCCAGTAACGTGTCCAGCAGGCAAGATAGATGAGGACAAGCGTCACAAAGAGAACGGAGGAAGTTTGTTACTGATGCTCAGGCAAGAGCGAGAATTTTACACTTGACGAAGGCTGACAATGTTGATAAATTAGACACATGTGCAACACTTGAAAGAAAGAAAGATTTCGTTCGGATTTTTAACCCCTGAGGGTTAGCCACCCAGGATAACCCAAGAAAGTCAGTGCGTCATCGAGGACTGTCTAACTTATTTCCATTGGGGTCCTTAATCTTGTCCCCCAGGATGCGACCCACACCAGTCGACTAACACCCAGGTACCTATTTGCTGCTAGGTGAACAGGACAACAGGTGTAAGGAAACGTGTCGGAATTTCCACCCGCCGGGAATCGAACCCGGGCCCTCCGTGTGTGAAGCGGGAGTTTTAGCCACCAGGCCACCGGGCCATCGGGTATCTTTATTTAGGAAACGTTTCGCCACACAGTGGCTTCATCAGTCCATACAAAGATTGGTGAAGAACAGGAAGAGTTTGAGGTAATCAATCCCTCAGCCTTGTAATCGGTCCATCAATCTTGAAAAGAATACAGCACCACCTGGTGGTTCACACTTACACTCACTCACTCATTTGACCATAAACAGAAATATTAATCTCAATCTTAAAATAATGAATCCTGTGATACTCCAATACTGAAACTATGTACTGTGCCAAAACAAAAGCATTCACATTGCTAAACTCACAAACTAGTATTTAGTCACTTAGCCATAATCACTTACCTCATAATTTGTAATATTTTACAATTAAGAATAAAACTAAGTCTGAAAGTTAAGACACATGTGCAACATCTGGATATCTTTATTGTAGTAGACGTTTCGCCATCCAGTGGCTTTATCAATACAGATTCTAGGACATAATAGGAAGACAGTAGAACTATATACAAAAGATGAGGTAATCAGTCCCTCGGCCTTGGAGTTAGTGTTCACAGCATCGTGGTGGAGGAGAGTCTGGAGCTCCACCACGATGCTGTGAACACTAACTCCAAGGCCGAGGGACTGATTACCTCATCTTTTGTATATAGTTCTACTGTCTTCCTATTATGTCCTAGAATCTGTATTGATAAAGCCACTGGATGGCGAAACGTCTACTACAATAAAGATATCCAGATGTTGCACATGTGTCTTAACTTTCATATTGTCGGTATTTTATACCTTTCTTTGCACAAAACTAAGTCTGCCCGAAATGCCTAGCCATGCTAAGCGTTCTAGTGGTACACTCTGTAATCACTATTTTACTACATGTAAACCACACAATAACCAAATTTCTGTAAACTCAGCATTGTAATCCTTATAGAGAATAAACTTTGAATTGAATTTGAATTGAATTGAATATGTGCGAAGAAGTGGCTAATATACTGTAGACAGGTGAGGTGAAGCAGTCGTAGGTGGTATCACACTTGACAAGTCCAAATGTGGAAGTAGGTCATGCCCAAAGGATTTATCAAGTGTGATACCACCTACGACAGTTTCACTTCACCTGTCACTTCTTCGCACGTATCCTGTATACTTTTCAAGATTGATGGACTGATTACGTCGATCAAGGCTAAAGGAAAATTCCCCTAAAAACCCCTCCTGTTCTTCACCACTTTCCAAAATAAAAACCCCCAAAGAGTTGAACTGTGTTAATTTATCAACTTGTCGGTTTGAGCCTTTATCAACATTCTCGTGTTTTTTAGACTTTTAAAGAGCCACTAAAAACATAAGGTTTATTGACTCTGCCTCCCGGGTGCCCCGAGGAAAAAATTTTTTGTAAAGTTTGGGTTTCCGAACCCTTGACTGGTTTAAAGGGGTTTTCGTTGGCAAAAAAGCAGACTGAAAAACAGGCTTTTTCCGAACCCTTGACTGGCCCGAACCCTTTGCCGGTTTCAAACGGGTTCGTTGGCAATGAAGCAGACTGTAAACAGGGGGGTTTTAGGCGCCCTTATCAAACAAAAAAAAAAATATAAAACAGGAACGTACACCGGTAAGCTTTTCCCAAATTTCCCTGGAGTTTCCCGGGAGAGACTTCCGGGGGCAACGCCCCCGCGGCCGGTCTGTGACCAGGCCTCCGGTGGATCAGACCTGATTAAACCCAGGTTGCTGCTGGTGCACGCAAACCAGCGTAGACCACAGCCCGGCTGGTCGGAAACCGGCTTTAGGTGCTTGTCCAGTCCCAGCTTGAAGACTGCCGGGGGTTTGTTGGTAATCCCCTTATGTATGCTGGGAGGCAGTTGAAAGTTGGGGCCCCTGCCCTTTTTTGGGCCCTCTTAAGTGCTAGGGGACCCCCCTGCTTTTTTTTTTGGGGGGTGTTGCATGTCTGCAAGTCTTTTGCTTTGGGAGTGATTTTCGTGTGCAAGTTCGGTACTGTCCTCTAGGATTTTCCGGGGTTTTATATCTGTATCTTCCCGCCCGGTTCCGGGAAAAAGGTTTAGGAACCCCAAGCGCTCCCCGTAATTTAGGTGTTTTATCTGTTATGCGCGCCGTGAAGGTTCTTGTAATTTTTTAGGTCAGCAAATTTTACCCGCCCTTTAAAGGTGCTGTTTGTGTGCAGCAAAATTCCGCCTAGATAGAAAAGTGCACTTGAAAAAATCCCAAATGCCAGATCTTCACTTTAAAGGGGGTTATTAGTAGAATATTCAAGGGGGTTACTAGTAGAATTAAGTAAATCAAACCCTTTTTAAAAAACCCCAATTTGAAATTTTGTGTCTGCAGTACATCAAACAAAGGGCTTCCACACGGTTTTCTTGCCTTTTTGTGAAAATTTATGTCAGCCCCCTTTTGCGATATCCCAAAAATTATCTCAAAAGTATTAAATCAGGGAAGTGTTTTTTGGGGATGCCCCAAAAGGATCAATTGTGGACTAAAAACAATTTTGTATTAAAAGAGGATAACTCAAAAACTTCTTCAAAAAAACCTGGAAACATTTTATAAAGTGGGGGGAAAAAAAAATGCTGGGTGGATGGTATCGCCCTTGGGGCTGGCCATGTCGCAGAAACTGTAAGGGTGGAGGTGCTGTCCTGGGTGACAGTAAAGGGAGGGGGAGGTGCGTCCTGGGAGACGTAAAGGTGGGGGCGGCTGGAGGTGCTGTCGTGAGAGATAGTAATGGTGAGAATGGAGGTGCTGTCCCTGGTGACAGTAATGGTGAGGCTGCAGGTGCTGTCCAGGTAGCAAGTAAATGTACACATGAGGGAATGATATAAATGACCTCGAGGGAGACAGGAGCTGTAGTGGGGGAAAAAAAATGTAGTCAAGGACAAAAATAAAACCCAAAATTACAAACTAGTAATACCACAGGAGATAGCAAACAAGGGGACTCCATAAGCAATAGTGAGGATATATTACCAGAAACAACTGGTGAGAGCTCCATTGTTAGTACTAGTGCACCAACAGGAAATACAGTCACAGAAACCCAAGGCAAACGGAAACCAAGCCTGTGCACATACTATGCACTTGGTATCTGCAGGCATGGGAAATCTGGAAAACCAGATGGGATGTGCAACTTTGACCACCCTAGAAAATGCCGTGCCCATATGACAACAGGAAAATGCAAACTCACTTCCTGTAAGCTTTTTAACTCTGAAATGCGTCCCTCTTCAGTACAGAAAAG